GGGGCGGCGCAGCTAGTGCCCCCCCCCAGCAGACCAGGGAGACGTGGAGCAGCTTTTCTTGCCCTGGAGAAGGCGGGCGGCGGGACCAGGCGTGCTGCTGCTCTAGTTCTCCAGGGCAAGAAATCCCTGTTCGTAACTGCGGATCCGACATAAGTCGGATCCACGTAACTCGGGGACTGCCTGTACTCCACTAGCTGTGTGAATCAATAAATCCTCTGCTTGTTTTCACCTGCACCCAGTGTGTTCAAGAACTATTCCCAACACCTTCCCTACTCCAAAACATAGACAGAAGCATTAAAATATACTGGTTGGGGAGAGGAAGGGGGGAAGAGAGAGAGAAAAAAGAAAAACCTGTGAATCCATGTTTCTGGACTCTTCGGGAACTTAGTTAATGCCAGTTTTCCAAGATGTAAATCCTTAACTGGATTTAAAGTGCCAGACAATATTAGTTCTTTCCTGCAAAAGAAAACAAACAATTTGTACACTTTTTTTGTTAAAGGTGCACGTTATTTTCTTTGAAATATAATACAACTATGATACCCAGAATATAAAACTTTAAAAATTAAAAACATTTCTACAATTAAAGCCATTTTATTGTAACCAAACGGGTTTTTTTTCCAATGTAAAAATCTGTGTTCCACGTTTTAAATGGGACAAATGGTCTTTATTGCCGTCAGTGGTAATTCATCCTGAAATGATTACACGATTTTATAAAGTAGACCTGTTCTGGAGTTGCACAATATTTTTCAGTAGAAAACTTAATACAGTATGTGCTAATACTGGCATGCAAAACAATTTTTGACTAATTAAGCTAATTTCAAACATCTGATAGCTATCTTCCAAAGCTTTCCCATAAGACACAGACATTTCAAAAAAAGACAGGTATGCACATGCAAGCTCCATTGTCATTAACGTGCCATCCTGAGCTTTGTGGCCCTGATCTAGAAGCACTTAAGCACATACTTAAATAAACATGAGTAGTCCAATGAAAGTAAAGTAAACAAAAAGATATCTAACATAATTCCACAGAAGTCTGACTTAAGTGGCCATCCATAACTAAGAAATAAAAGGAGGTTGAAAATTTTAATTCTAAAAGAGGTCACAGTAATAGCACTAGTGAATGAAGTCAGTTACTTCTAGAACAACCAGATTATTTTAAATGGAGAAACTAGAACAGTTACTTCAGAACAGGATAGAAAAAAAGGGAAAGAATGGAATAGGACAGCTTAGAGCACCCTTCTCTTTTCTTTCTCCTCCTTCCCCATCACCCTCCTCTGTTTCACGATAAAAAAAATTATCATGTTAAAATAAGATGTTGCTGCAAGAAAACCAGTATCTATCTCCTCGATCCAGACCTATTTTTACATTATGGTCCAATCCAGCAAAGCGTTAAGCATTTGATTAATAGTGAGCAAATGACCAGTCTCTCATATTCAAAAATAGAATTACCCGTGTCCTTAAAATTAAGCCTATCCTTAAATGTTTGCTAGATTAGAAGTTATATCTGTGAGTCCAATTCTCAGGAAAAAACAACCACCAAACCTTCTCTGCTCCAAGATTAACCTTATTTACTGCTTTTTTTGTCTGTACACTTTTCTTGTCAAGGTTTCATATTCTAATATTTTCTATCCTTTTTTCTCTTCAACTATCTCACAGACAACAAGGCCATTGTAGAGAAGCTAAATGAATTCTTTGCAGCAGTCTTCACTGCAAATGAGGTAAGGGAGACAAGGCAATTTCAGCAACAACAGGCTGGTAAAGCTAATTTTATTATCAGGCAAACTGGTGGAAAATACAACAAAAAATAGAATTATTATGAACAGGTATGTTGGGGAAGAGTGAATATAGCTTTTGTAAAGGGAAATCATGCCTAACCAATCTATTTAAATTCTCTGAGGGTGTCAACAAGCATATATACAAAGATGATCCAGTTGTTGGTACAGCGTAGTTGGTCTTTTAAGAAAATCTTTGACAAGGTCCCATACCAAACGCTCTTAAGTGAACACAGTCCTGGGATAAGAAGGGAGGTCCTCTCATGGAAAGATAACTATACAGGAACAAAGCTCGGCATGTTTTGGTCAGAGCACCACTGAGCTGGTGGTAGGCAACCACACTATCAACTGGCCCGAAGATTGGAACCTGGGGAGGAGAGAGGGGTGACTAGAGGCTGGGTCTCTCTACACTGATCACTACACCCTCCCTTGAGGTGGTGGCCTGGCACCCCTTGCTATTACCTTTGACCACCAGGCTGCCCTTTCCTGAAAGGGAAAGAAGGCTTGGCCATTGACTTTGTCTTGGTAAGTGAGAGCATGGTGGGGACTCAAACTGTTGAGGCACACCGTGTTGAGTCCAACTGCAGGGCTGTACTAAACTTCTACCCCAAGGGTGATGGGCATATCAATCCTGCAACAGTCTAGATCATAAAGCTGCTATACAAATCCATGGTAGTCCACATTTTGAGTACCGTGTGCAGTTGCGGTTATCCTATCTCAAAAGAGATATTAGAACTGGAAAGGATGCAGAAAAAGGGTATGAAAAAAGGACTGGTGTATAGAACAACTTCCATATAAGGAAAGATTAAAAAAACTAGAAAGATAGAAGAGAGAACTAAGTGGGGATATGCCACAGGTCTATAAAATCCATGAATGGCATAGAGAAAGTGAATAAGGAAGTGCTATTTACCCAACACATATCACAAGAGGCATCAGGTTTAAAACTAACATAAAAAGCACTATTTCACAGAACACACAGAAAAATCTATTCAACTCATTTCCAGGGAATGCTGTGAAGTGCAAAAAGATAAGTAGGTTAAAAAAAAAGAATGGAGAAGTCAATGGAGGATAGGTAGTAGGGACATAAAACTCTGTTTAATTGGTTAACCAGTTAAACAGGATGAGCCTACTAGTGCTGGGCTGGAACCTACCCTGCCCATGGTAGAACCTGTGGGGCTGGAGTAGCTCCCTGCCCCAGGACTGGGGACTGCTCCAGCCCCCACTGGTTAACTGGGCTTAGAACCTGTGGGGCTGGAGTAGCTCCCTGCCCCAGGACTGGGGACTGCTCCAGCCCCCACTGGTTAACTGGGCTTGCAATGGGCCTAAATTGCAGCAAGGGAGGTTTAGGAACTTCCTGTCAGAGTGGTCAAACACTGCAATAAATTGCCTAGGGAGGTTGTAGAATCTTGATCACTGGAGATATTTAAGAGCATGTTGGATAGACATCTATCAGGGATGATCTAGATCAGTGGTCTCCAAACTTTTTACACCCAAGATCACTTTTTAAATGTCAGGACAAGCCAAGCTCTACCCCATCCCTTCCCCAAGACCACACCCCCTCCTTGAGGCACCGCCCTCTGTTCCTCTTCTTTCCATCACTTGCTATCCCTGATCCTTATACACTCTCAGGGTACGGGTACTCGGCCGCTTTTTTTGATCCTTCTATTGGAAGAAAATTCTGACATTTTGGCCCATCTAGACTGGACCAAATGTCGGAAAAAACCCCTTCTTTTGGAAGTCCCCTCATTCCTCGTAGAATGAGGAATACAGGGGCTGCCAAAAGAGCGTGTTTGCTGGAAAAACTCCTGCAGTCTACCCTCACTGTGGTGAGACAAGAGGTGTGGGTTCTCCGGTGGGAATGAGGGATTTAGGTTGGGAAAGGATAAGAGGTGCAAGCTCTGGGAAGGAATTTGGATGCAGGAGGATGTGGAGAAGGGCATGCTGGCTCAGGAAGGGGGCTCCAGGCTGGTGAGTGTTGGGCTCAGGTGGAGGGTTGGGGGTGCTGAACAAGCCACAGGCTTGTGGATGCGAGGGTGCAGGAGTTTGGGTTGGGGTGTGTGAAGGGCTCAGGGCAGTGAGGTTGGGAGTATGATGGGCTCAGGACACAGATTTACAGTGCGTGAATGATGCAAGAGTGTTGTGGCAGAAGACTGAGGATGTGGGGGTGCAGAAGTTTGGGGATGTGAGAGGCTCAGGACAGGGGGTTCCAGTGTATGATAGGCTCAAATTTGGGGTCGAGGTGGGAGATATAGGAATGTTATGATGCTGTGGCCAGATAAGGGCGTGGCCCCAATTGGGGGCTTGTTGGCCAGGCTTCATTTTTAAATAAAATATGTCAAACACAAAAGGTTTCAGCATTGTCTTTATTTATGAGAGGGGCAGGGAACCTGTGTTGAGTCAGGGGTTACTGACCCACAGAAAAGTCAGTCGGGGCCACACAAGTAAGATACAAAAACACAACCCTCCTCAATCCTCATAAGCCTCACTAATGTGGCCCCAACTGTGTTGGTGAGGGCAGGAGACAGAGTGCTGTGGCAGGGGACAGGATGTCTGTGGGTGCTAGTGGGTGCCAGGGCACGGAACAGGGTGCTGGGGCAGGGTGCCAGTGGATGCTGGGGCAAGGGCCTGGGGCAGAGGACAGGGTGCCGATGGGTGCTGGGGCAGGGTACTTGTGGGGATCTGGGCCGGGGGAGAGAACAGGGACTGGGACCTGGGGATCCTGCAGTTGCAGGCCAAGGCCCAGGAAGTGCGTGGGCTGCTCCCACATCCCCAAAACAGCAGCACAGCACTTGAAACACCGGTTCATCAAGGGCCTGATCCCCTTCCCCCATTCCCACCCCATGCAGGAAAGCAAGTCCCAGGCCGCACTGGCTCCAGCTGACACGCTGGAGACTTCATTCCCTGTGCCAGCCCTAACCACTTGGGCAGCGTGCGCCTTGCTCCCCTGCTCCCCAAGGCAGAGCCAACTGCCTGAGCAGCCAAAGCTGGTGCAGTCCCAAACCCTCACCCTCTTCCCCGCGTGCAGGAAAGCAGCAGGGGATCAAAATCCCCAGCATGCAACAGATCGGCATTTTAGGTACCACGCTGTCCATTCAAGGGGGAGGAAGAGTAGCCTGCACACTGGAGCGGAGCTGCAGAATTCCCCCCAACCCCGCTGGAAACCTGTGCTACCTCCGTTGTTCCTGGAGGTAGCATCAGCGCGGTGTTCATCTTAGGGATGGGGGTCAGCAAGGGGAGGGGGGCCCCAAAAGCCTCGCAATCGACTGGTCGGGCCCCCAGGATCGACGGGTTGGTTACCATGGATCTAGATGGTGCTTGGTCCTGCCATGAGGGCAGAGGACTGGACTGGATGATCTAATGAGGTCCCTTCCAGTTCTAGTAGTATTCTATGAAACCAAGCTGGTTATACATTCACCTCCTTAATAGATACCTCAATGGCTACAAGGCAATATGGTAAGATACAATCCCATGTTTTGGTGTCCCAAATCCTGTGATTGTCAGAAACTGGGCCTGGACAATAAGAGATGGACTACTTGATAACTACCCTGTCGTATGGATGTAAGTGACTAGTCGACTATACAATAAGCAAAGGGGTGGGAGAGCAGGAGCTGGTGCTGGGGGGAGCCTGAACTGGGTGGAGCCTGCTTAAAAGCCGGTTCCCCCAGCACCATCTCTACGGGGGGCAGGAGAGTAACAGGGACCGGGGGTGTGAGCTGGGAATCAGGCTGATTCCTGGCTTGCACCATCCCAGAAGCTGGGCTTCTGCTTTTTAAATGAAGAGCCTGCCAGCTCTTAATACATTTAAAAATCAGAAGCGCAGCCAGGGGTGGGGGCCTGGCATGCGCCAGAACAGTTGATAAGTGGCTTGTGCTGGTTCCCCCCGCTGTGCTTTAGCCTTTTAAATGTATTAAGAGCTGCTAGGCTTTTTAAAAGGCTAAAGTGCAGCGTGGGGGGAGGGGAAGAAAGAGAGGGGAACCAGTGCAAGCCGGGACAGTTGGTTCCCAGCTCATGCAGGGTCCCTCCCCCTGCCATTACACACCAGTATTTTAAATGTATTTTAAAGGCTGGTATGCAGCTGGGGGGGACCCTCTGCAAGCTGGGAATCAGCTGTCCCGGCTTGTGCTAGATCCCTCCTGCTGTGCTTTATCATTTTAAATATATTAAGAGCCTGCCAGCTCTCAATACATTTAAAAGTCAGAGCTGCAGCAGGGCTAGCTCCCAGCCTGGGAGCTAACCCACTGCTACTTCCCCACTTATCGACTAATTCATGCAAAGTCCATCAACTAGTTGATTGCACAAAATTTAACATCCCTACCCTCTCGTGTTCATTCCTTCTCACAATAGTCATTGCCAGATGCTTCAGAAAGAAGAATATTGAGTTAGATGGACCATTAATCTTAACCCAGTATGCAGATTTTTACCTAGTTGTGTAC